TCAGGCTGTTTTCATGGGTTCTGGTGTTTGAACTCGGATCCTCAGGTCATCTCTGTAGCCACCTATTTTAAAGTTCAAGACATGTAAACATGCAAATAACAAGTAGAAGAAAAAGGAGAATGAGAAATCACGCTAAACCGATAGAGGAACAATTCACGTTTTTTGCTGTATTATATCACACCTGCCCTGTACTTAAATGTAATTAAACTTTAAAATTACATTGTTCAAACTGTCTTTCTAATCATGTTTTTATTTGTGCCAAATCATATGTTACATGTTTTCCCGTATAACCTTTAAGTTTACAGAATAAACCTGATTATGCTAACTACCTATACAAACCTACATGCTTATTAGATGGTCTCATAAAAACCAAAAGTCACCATAAGCAGCTTTCTCTTTGGGTGTGCTGTTTGTGCCCATCCATGATAAAGTTTTAGAGTAAAATTTTTCAGTAGAATTGCTAGATCAGTTCAAGTTTCTGTAATTTAGATTTGTATTATTATTTTTTAATTTTTAAAGACCAAAATATAATTACATAATTTTCCTCCTTCCCTTTTCTCCCTCCAATCCTTCCCATATACCCCTTCTATTTGCTTCCTTTTAAAATCATGGTTGATATATATATGTATCATATAACATATATCATATATATATATAATCTGCTATACCCATTTGATATTGCTTGTGAGCATGTTTTCTGGGTTTGAACTCGTCATTTTAGGATCACCAACTAGGAGGCTCATCCCCAGAGAATATCAGAGTATCCCATTCTCCAATGGTGTAGAATATTTTCTTATGTAGGTAGCTGACTTTCAGAAACAGTTCCAGTTACATAAATGTACTCGTTTCAATGTGTACATTTGGATATATCTCTAAAATAAATATTTGATAATTTACACTGGTACTGGGAGTGACCCATTTCTAAAAATGCACTATTTAGACCAATTTAAACAACTTTTACTTCTCAGTTTTATTTATTTACTTATTTAGAAACAAACCAGCCAGAGAACAGCATGTCTTCAAACTTTCTGTGTGACGGTGTATAACCTTGAACTTCTGAATCTCCTGGTGAGAGAACAGGCAGATAGCAGGAGCAGAGGTGTGACCCTCCATACCATGTTGTATGATGTGGGGACTGAACCCAGGGCCCCCTGCATGGTGGGCAGGAACTCTGCCAATCGAAAGACACCACTGGTCTAAGGCAAACACATTTTTGTACCAAGTATAATTTTTGAAATTTCATATGTCTAGAAAATACTTGTCACACAGTTGCTCTAAGTTGCATAGTATTACACTAAGGCCTACAGTTGGTCCAAAGAAATTTTGTGTCCATATTGATGAGGTGTTGAGTATTTTAGGCTTATATGTTCTTTGGTAAGAAATACTGTCTTCCTAACATTTGCTCATTCAGTCCAGCAAGCTCCAATTGATGAGTGCAGGCAGGCTACACATTGTGCTAGCTATAGTGAGTACAGGAGTGAAAGTGTGAACCTGGTCTTGTCCTCGGGTAGCTTTCAGTCTTTTCCATGACGTGATCCAGTCAACAATCCAATCATGCAGTTAGGACAGGTTTGGGGAATATATTATGTGTACTGGTCAACTCAGGAAGGGTAAATGTCTTACTCCACTCAAAAACACAGGGAGTCCAGAGGTCTATAAGTGAGGAGCCAGAGTGTGTCATTAGATGTGTGACCGGTAAATTCAGAAAACGTTTTCCTAGGTCCTGTGTGGATGTCTAGTGTACTGTCCTGGCAAAGGAGTTTCTCTTCCTGAAGAATGGAACTCTTGGAGAAGAATCAATAACTACTAATTCTATTAGTGTTTTGGGAGTGACACCTCCTAAGCTTCTGTGGAGTATGTGTGGCCATTGGAATGGGCATTACAGACAGTTGTGAACTGCCATGTGGGTGCTGGGAATTGAACCCAGGTCTTTTAGGAAGAGCAGACAGTGCTCTTAACCACCGAGTCATCTTTCCAGCCCCCGAGTATGTGTGGCCATAGACAATACTGACACTGTTCTCTGTGTTCCAATCTGAGGGTCAGATCCCCATATGAGTGAAAAAGAAGCTGTGGGGCGAAGAAGATGACTCAGTCGGCATGAAGAACTCTGTTGAGATCCTCAGCACTCAGGAAAGCTGGAAGTGGCAGTAGTTACCTGAACTCTAGCCCTAGTGAAGGGGTATGCAGAGAGTTTTCAGACAGAAGGTCTCTGGCCGGCACCCCAAGTTCCATCACATAAGTGGGGAAATGGTTAAGAAGGCATCCCACCTGCACAGTTGAGTACACACACACACACACACACACACACACACACACACACTGCCACCTATGACACTACACCCACACATAAGAAAAACTAAAGATGCAGGAAAGAGCTCATTCTGTTGAGGAACAGTGAGAGATGGGTAGAGGTCAGAAAGCAGTACTCTGAGTGCTGCAGAGATTATGCAAAACACTCCTATTTAAGCCAACACTGGCTGGTTTTGATTTCCCTTTGTACAAGAGAATAAAGCAGGGAAGAGACAAAACAGGAAGACTTATCAGGAGGCTTTTACTGTGGTCCACCAAAGACACTGTCCATTGACGATAGGATGATTTTGACAAGAGGAGCAAACCGTGAGAGAAATAATTCCAATAAACTGGGACCTGGTGACAGTTTTAATGACGCTAAGAAAACTGATTAGACTACATTCTTGCAAACAGAAGATATTTTCGTGTGCTTTAAATTGATTTTTTTTTTTAATGTTCTGCTGTTCAAGCAACAAAAATTGTTACTGGTTGCTACGAAGATAAAAAAAAAAAACTAATGAAAAAATTCAGCTTAGAGAATCGAAGAGTGTTCACAATGTGAAGGAAGTCCCAGCAGAAAGAAGCAAAAGACATAGCAAGATGGAATGTCTGAGACTGTCTCCTAAGAAGTGAGAGCTATACCCTTCTTGAACACTTCCTTAGTTCCACCGCACCACTGGCCTCTGGACCCCTGGAGTGGCCTTAAATAACAGAACTCACAATCTTTATGTAATTTCTTTAATTACATAAAGTAACAGAAGTAGAGAGTTCTGCTACATCTCTCGATTCTTCTTTCAAATCCCTCTCTTTCTCTCTCTCACACACACACAAACACACATAGAGGTATTTCTTACATCATTGGGTCATAGAGCCAATGATGAGGGTTTTCTTCTTCCTGAGGTGGGGGGTATGTTTTATTCTTTTTTAGATCACTCTAATTCATCTTTCATCATAGATAACTTAAACATCTACATCAATTGGGCTAGATAAGTATTCAGTATGATTAGCTATTGGAGTGTAGATATTTATTCAGGATAGGAAATTACAATAAAACTAGAGAATACCCATGGTGTGAATGAGTTTTATTTTTTATTCATGGAAACCTTTTGAGATACAGAAAGTGCTACTCTCAAAATTCATACAATGAGTTCAATAAGCTTAAAAATATTTGTAAGGTGATGATATCACTTTGCTAACATGTGGTAAAAACACACATAGATACAAGTCTTTGATTCTCATGCTCCTGTCCTTTATGCACTTTATTAATTACAGTTATTCACTTTGCATCCCACCTGAAGCCCCCCTCTTACCCTTCCAATCCTACTCTCCCTCCTTCTTCTCCACCCATGGCCCTCCCCCATGGGTGGACCCCCAGTCCACTGATACTGGAGGTCCTCCTCCCCTTCCATCTGATCCTAGTCTATCAAGTCTCATCAGTACTGGCTGCATTGTCTTCCTCTGTGGCCAGGTAAGGCTGCTCCCCCTCAGGGGGAGGTGATAAAAACGTCAGCCACTGAGTTCATGTCAGAGAACTAGGGAACCCAGTTGGACACTGAGTGCCATGGGCTACATCTGTGCAGGGGTTCTAGGTTATCTCCATGAATGGACCTTGGTTGGGGTGTCAGTCTCAGAAAAGACCCCTGTGCCCAGATTTTTTGGTTCTGTTGCTCTCCTTGTGGAGCGCCTGTCCCCTCCAGATAGATATTTCTATCTTCCCCTTCTTTCATAAGATTCCCTGCACTCTACCCAAAGTTTGGTTATGAGTCTCAGCATCTGCTTTGATACCCTGCAGGGTAAAGTCTTTCAGAGGCCCTCTGTGGTAGGCTCCTGTCCTGTTCCCTGTTTTCTCCCTCTTCTGATGTCCATCCTCTTTGCCTTTCTGAATGGGGATTGAGAATCTTAACCAGTGTCCTCCTTCTTGATTAGCTTCTTTAGGTGTACAGATTTTACTATGTTTATCCTATATTATATGTCTAATATCTACTTGTGAGTGAGTATATACCCTGCCTTACACACTCTTATGCATGCTCAGATTGCTGTTTTGGACTGTGCCCACAACAGCAGGAGGTTTTATTTCATGTTTAAAATGTTCCCTGGAAGAAAGAAGCAAGAGATGTGTTAAAGGGCAGGTGTTATATAAGCCAGGTGAGAGAAAGCAAAAGCCTGAGTTCAGTGGTAAAATGCAGATGAGTTCCTGTGATGTTGAGTTCCTGTGAGAACCAGCTCTTCAAATTAGTGTAGAACAATCAGCCAAATTGCCCTTATTAATAGTGGGAGCCTTAACAACCAGATAGTGACTATGTCTTAGACAACAAAATAGAATGAAAAGCCAGGTCTGCTTGGAAGCATTTTGCCTGAGGCAAAAAGTAAAGAGCACTGAACCTGACAGGCAGGTTCTGAATCAAACCCATTCTGGTGGCCCGTGTCACACACTAACTTTCCCTTTTGCTTCTGTTCCTACTGCACGTGACATATATTGTTTGTTTTCCCTAGAAGAAATTAGTAACATAGATTATCTCCTTAATCACTGACATGGTTATTTGAAGTGAAACTCACAAACGTAACCTCCACACAAGTAGGAGGCTGTCCTCCGATAATCAGAAGTGACTGGACATTGTATATAGTAGAAGTCACTTGAACAGAATGAGAAATCATAGGAGAACTGTTTTCATTCCTCATATACAACAAATATTTTAATTTGTCTTTTAAAGGGGCATTTGATCTTCTCACAACTGGCTTTCGTACCAACCTCAATCCAGATCAAACTGAGGTATGAGCAACTCAGGCTAGCATCCAACCAAGTCAGGGGTGGGCTAGTGTCCAATCAAGACAGAGGTTGGCTAGCGTCCAAAGAAGGCAGGAATGGGCTAGCATCCAATGGAGACAGAGATGGGCTGGCATCCAACCAAGACAGGGATGGGCAAGCTTGTTGTGAAGATAAGACTAAGAGAAATCACCAAACCCTGTCTACCCAAACAGGTACTCTAGACGGCAAAGAAGCACAGGATTGCCTTGTGAATGTCTTAGGATGTTGAGTTTGCCGAGCTTGGGAATTCTTGCTTCTTTTTGGTTGAATTCCCCTTCACCCCAAAAAGTAACAATAAAATTGAGATGGATGAGCACGTGTCTGTGCATGTGCTCACGCATGTATGTATATATGTATGTATGTAGAAAAAGACATAAGTAACCTTTCATATGAGATAGCTGTTATGAAAAAAAAGCCACCTGTTTTCTGGGCTTTCAGGAGCTAGTAGAAGGTCAGAGAAGCAACTTAGATGGCTTAGGGGTAAGGACAGAGGTGCTATCCCTGAATTGACCCAAAGTTATTGACTGATTACCATGTAAGGTTTGCTACTGTCATGCCAGTGGGGGATTATTTTCTGAAAGAGTGAAAACAAGCGTTCTGACATTTCACAGTAAGAAAAGAACCTTCACCCAATAAAGACTCAAGCAAGGATTACTGAGCTGTAACTCTTTACCTGTAATAGTAGATGGCGGCTCTGCACCCATTATTTCATCTAAGCCTCAGAGTGATACAGTGATACAGGCCATATTCTCTCATGTCACAAATGAATACATTAGGTTTCAGAGAAGTAGCTTATGCAAGATGTTCTTGGAGTTGGAACTAGACCTTGAACTAGTCTGTCTGAGAACTTAGTGTACACGTGTGCTGTGCAGAAACCATATGAAGATATTACAGAGGTTAGACAATTCTGCTCTATCACTCCATATTTATTCTCTATTCAGGACAGAATCTCTTGGGCAACCTGTGGCTCCCATGATTCTCCCATCTCTGTCCAACATAGAGATGTGGTTATAGGAATGTGTATGGACATGTTCAACTTTTTAATGTGACCTCTGGCCGCTGAGATCAGTTCATTATACTTGTATAATAGTCAGGAATTATAGTCAGCCATCTCATCTCTTCAGCTTCAAAAATACCTTTTAGACATCCTTATTACCATAACTTTATTTTTAATTTAGATTAATTGTAATTATAAATCATTTTTACTTTAATTTGTATTTTAAAGACATGTTCTCATTATATGTGGCAAAGCTGTGGAATTTCAACATGTGTATGGGATCTGTAAAAAGCAATCTATTTTTGATAATGTTCACATCAAGAAAACTGAGAAACATATTCTAGTCTTAAACTTTGCACTTGTTTATAAAGCAGCAAGGCAGTTGGGTGGAGGACACAGCTCAGCGACTGTGCACATCTACTGTGCAAGCCTGATGACCGAGTTCCATCCCTGGAACATGTGCAAAAAGCCAAGTGTGGAAGCAGCAACTGTAATCCCAGCACTCTTAGAGCAAACTGAGAAGTGGGGACAAGAGAATTACGGGAAACTCTAGACAGGAGTCATAACCATAGCCAAAAGCCCAAGAAAAACCCTGCCTCAAAATGAGGTGGCTGGATAGAACCATGCCTGAAAATTATCTTCTGACCTCAACGCACTATGGCATGTGTACGCAGGTACACTCAATACACATATACTCAGAATAAAGTACGGAGTTATCAACTATAATTCAGTTGTGGTTGTCACAGAAGGACAAATTGGGAACGAAACAGGACCTCAGGTAAACGTCCTCACAGGTTCTGTTAAGGCCAAGTTCTCTGCCCCACATTCTGGGCTGCTTGCTTGCTCCTAACAAACTGTAGCCCCCTTATTGATCTTTATTTTTTAAACTGTATTTAGTACGAGGAAACATAAGGATCTTGCAAAGGAAAACAGCAGGCACCCTCCCGCTTCCAACTCAGTCCCCTGTAACTGCTGTGAGCCAGAGCTGAAAGTCTTAGATGAAAGTCGGCTGCTACAAAGAAAACAGGAGAATGAAACAAATGCATCCTCAAAGAGAAACTATTTGAGACTGGAGCTGAGGGGATTTAGGGAAAGAGGTATAGAGCTTATTAGGTTCTAGGTAAAGCATAAATTTTAGTTACTGAATACAGAGGGTGTCTGCATACCTTACAAGAATCAGGAAAGATACAATTGAGGCACCAATCCAAGGCAAAGAGTGATGGCACAGGTTTTGAATAAAACAGCAAAATACATCCTTTATTTTGAGGTCTAATTCAAAACCCCACTCCCTCTTCCTTTGACCAGAGCCCATCTCTACCCTCACAATTGCTCCCACTGAGTTTATTATTCACCACCCTGCCTTCCCCACTTTTCTTCACAAAAGAGGCTATTTTCAAGGCAATGAGCTTGCAGAGGAATGAAGCCATTCTTTCTCCTCTTTGACCTACCAACTCTCACATTTCCATCAAAACTTATCTTATTTAATGGTTGCCAGGAGGGTAACTTGATTACTGATGACTTCAGTGTCAACTGCCTCAGATCCTTTATATGGGGAAGAAAGTGCTTGTTAACCTCAGAAGCCACTGGTTTCAATAATTGGATTTCACCAAAAAGTATTTTAGGACATTTTAGTGTGTGTGTGTGTGTGTGTGTGTGTGTGTGTGTGTGGGTGCACACTGAATTATGCAAGAGAGATAACAAATATGTTTATGATAAGTAGGCGGTAGAGGCAAGATTGCATTTTAGCATCTATGAGACACAAGGTTGCAAGCTCCAAGTCATTGTGTTGTACTCTCAACCTGCTGTGGATAAACATATTTTTGAAGACCTGATTGCAAAAGTGGTTCACCTGGTAAACAGTTAAATATTGGGAAGATGTGGTTGAGTGGAAGAAAAAAAAATGTTTTAGTGTTACTCATGGAGAAACAAGAACAAAGAAGGAGCTGTTCATGTGTTTTCTTTCTAAATGTCCCCTCCTCTGTCTACTGCCTATTCAAAATGGAGTAGTAAAAGGTGCTGCCTTGAATCCATGCAAAAAAGCATTAAAACATCAGTCTAAAAACAGAGCTCAGTCAAAATGGGTTAAAAGTTTTTTTTTTTTTTTTTTTTTTCAGTGTCTACTCTTGCTATAATTAGCAAGATACTAGAAAAGTATCTATCAGGAATAGAAGTGCTGAACAGGCCTTAGCTACTTTGTGGGTTCTTTCTTCCAACCTTCTCCACACCTTTTCTTCTTCCCTTTCAACCCCTCTAACACTAGATATGAGAGAAACAAAGATAGAGAGGAAAGGAACAAGATCCCTAAATAAAATCAGGGGTCAGAAAGGGGATAATGATATCATTAGACTACTTCCTGCTGACGAGGGGTGTCAAGTTCCTTGGACAAGTTTGGTCTTCACCATCAGGACATCTAATTTCTTCTTCTTGTTGTTTCTTCTTTGCACACAACTACTTAACAAGCAACCGACAGCAACCAACAACCAACCAACAACCAGTCACACCTCTTGGGGACATAGCATTTATATACTCTGTGAAAAGTCCCAAGAATTCCAAATGTCACACAATCTCAGAAACTATCTGCAGCTGGCAAAATCACGACTCTGCTAGAGCATGAGAAAAATCATAGTCAGCTGCTGGGAAACAGCCCCATATCCCACACCTGGGGCTGGAAAACATTCTTACAATATTTATGTGTGTGTGTGTGTGTGTGTGTGTTAAGAGATCAAAACTCCAGAATTTTCAGTACAGAGTCCTTTCCCCAATTCTCTGTCTTCTCCCTCCCCATGGACCCTCAGTTATCTCCACAAATTGAAATAAAGTGAAATACCTCTTTAATTTTCTAAATACCTTTGGATGGAATTATTTTATTTTATATGTATGAGTCAATTTCCTGTCTGTATATCTGGGCACCATGTGCCTCTCTGGTGCTTGTGGAAGTCGGAAGAGGAGAGAATTCCCTAGAACTGGAGTTACAGAGGTTGAGAGCTACCTACCATGCAGTGCTGGGAAATTGAACCAGGGTCCTCTGGAAGAGCCGCCCCTGTTCTTAACCTCTGATGTGTTTCCCCAGCCACAACCTTTGGATGTTTTAATAAACTCTAATAATGTTTTAAGGACTCATCGTTCTGATTGTGAATGGTCCACTTTGTTTTAAGCGCAGCTCGAGAAAGAGCTACGCCTGAGTTGAGGAGTCAGCGTGCCTCTGTTAACTATCACTGGTAAAACGGGCCTTTCTCAATCTGACCTTCATATGTCCTAATTTTATAATACTTTATCTAGCCCTCTTTCTAGAGGGCAATCTGCAAGGTAAATGCTCAAGTCGGGAGATTGCAACCGCGTCCTCCTGATGGAACTAGTGGTGACAAGACGATTACGAGAACACCGAAGCAATTTAAAATTATTTCTTACCTTTATTTGCGTGCCTGTGTATGTGATGTGGTGTGTGGAGGTTGGAGGACAACTTGCAGAAGTCAGTGCTTTTCTTCCACTGTTGTGTATCCCGGGGATTCAGTCACATAGTTAGTGTTGTTGGCAAGCACCCTTTCTTCCTGAGCCATCCTCACTGGTCAATGTATGGCAGTTTGAAAGGCTCAATTTTCATCCTGAGGAATACATATTTAAAAAAAAAAAAAAAGAATTCCTATGAACTCACAAGCATTTGAAAAAGTTCTCAAGTTAACACAACACACTCACCAGGAGATGGATACATGCTTATTTTATTTAACTATTTTGACAAAAGGGCCTCCACCAACCCCTCCATTTAGTGTGTAGGCTCAGATGAGGGCTGTACACAGCTGAATGAGGTTGTTCTGCTCTGGCTATCATTTATCATTTATACTGCAGATATCTGCTTCAGAGCATGTCTCACTGACATGTTTAAAGAATATATATATATATATATATATATATATAAAGCATGGGAACCTAAACAGAATCCGAATGCTTTTCTCTGGATAAGTTAAACTCTGTGGTTGCAATAATCAACCCTATCAGAAAACTGGAGAGTTTGGGGCAGAATTCTCAGTCATAACTTGAATCTCTGACCCTATTAATAGCACTCAGCAACAAATTTTCCACATACTCCAATTTACTTGCTTATAACTTGTATTAATTGCCAATTAATAGCCTGATTATCCTGTTTTGGGAGGTGTTTTGAAAGTGGCTTGTGTTTAATAGCTCCTAGCACCACTGGAATCCAATTGGATGCCAACTGAACACTTTTTCAAATAAAACCGTTTTCTCCCTTTTGGATGCTAAAGAGAACAGAGACACACAAGTAGCTCTTGATTTGTGATTTTTTTTTTTAACTCTCAGCCTCCCCTGGTGTTAAGTAGTTCTCCTTAAGAAACTTCCTTGGTTGAAAAAGCATATAAAAAGAAAATGATTCTACCTCTGCATCTATTCTTTAGTTTGAAAACATCTTTCTTTCTTTTTTTTTCCCCCCTAAGCTTGTGCCTATGGTTAGTATAAAGTAAAGAATGAACAATACTACAGGGCTTCTATTTTGGAGTCATTTAATTAGACATTAATTAGACAGATACCTCTGATGACCAATAAACAGATATTAGAGATAACGTTCGGGGGAATATTTTATTTTCTACATTCCTATCAGCATTTTGGGAGATCTAGGGCATTTCATGAAATTATTCAAACATCTTTCCTTTAACAAGGCCAAGAATTGTCCAGAGAGAAGAAGAAGCCACTAAAACAGAGCTGGAGGATGGCCACAGACATTTGTGGAGCAAGAGGGGGGGAGGGGAAGGAGAAGGGGAGAGGTGAGGAAGGGAGAGAGAGTTTGAGAGAGCAGGGAGAGAGAGAGAAAGAGGGAGAGAGGGAGAGCCAAGATACTTTACAGGGCTTTTGGCCATAAGCACAGTCCATCCTTGTGAGTGGTCCTCTAGACAAAGAGTTCTTTGTAAAGTGGGCCTGATCCCTGGAGAGAGAGAGAAAATGATTCTTTCTAGCTGGAGAGTGTTAACTCTTTCTTCTCTTCTGCACTGGGAAAGGTGGTAGGTCCGAAGTGATTAATTGCCTAATCAATTTTAGAGAGTAATATTTAACAATATGGCAGTTTTCCTGTGACTGAGTGGGATGGTAAGATCTCAATGCCTGTTTCTCCCTATATTCCCTTGCTTCAGTCTGGCATGAATGGATCATGTCAAAGACATAGTCCAGTAACTACTGAACCATTAAACATGCTGATTTCATTACATAGAAAAAGCTGAGGAGTATTTTTATAATCACATTTTTAAAGTTTACTTTCAAACTTGAATGTCTTTAGATGTGGATGCCCCCAAATGAGAGGTGGATGTTCTGCTTGGCAATTAGTTTTGCCCAGGGAAGGCTACATGTGCATCAGAGAAAACACTCAGAGCTAAGGGGTGGGAGTTGGGGGGGTTCTATTGACTGGCAGTATGCTCCCTTTAAGAATGAAATAAGCTTAGCAACGTTGGCAGAATTTCTGTTTCTATTCAGAGGAAAAGAGAAGAACTGTTAGTGTCAACAAAACAAACAAACAAACAAACAAAACAAAACAAAAAACCCCCAAAGCTAGAAGGATGGATGGAGGCTGTGAGACAGAAAGAGAACAACTTTACACCCATTAAGGACAGCCCACCTGGGAGTGGTTTGAGCTCCTCTGGGGTTTAGAAAGCTTTCTTTTCCAATCAAAGCTAAGGGTGGAGCTAGGAGAAAAGGGGTTTAATGTGAAGTGGATGTCAGTATTAGTTCTGCTCCGTTTTGGGAAGCAGACAAGAAGAAAAACCCAAGTGGGATGGAGAAGAAGCCAGAGTGAGGGGCTGCCTACTCCATTAGATACCAAAGGTATAAACGGTTTGTTGTTCTGAGTTTAGTAGTTGGGAATCTTGTAATTGGATCCTACTTCATCTCTGTGTATTATAGATTGCCTTGTTTTCTCATGCAAGAAAATGTGTCAGTATAAAACTACTGCTCTATCAGGTGAAAAAGGTTTGTGAGGTACCATTTCAGGGTAATCAGTGTTTACTCAAACACTGTGTATACATAAAAATCTTATTTTCTCTAATGGCATATTTTATACCTGTAATGACAGAGCTGCTTTCTATATCCAAATGTTGAATCAATACTTAATGTCTCCATGGTTCAAATGAAGTTGTTGTTACTTTAGATAGCACAAAATTGCTCCCAATTTGTCAAACTGCTGTCAAGATGGAAATTGGAATCTAAAGCTAAAATGTTGTTTAATTTTCTTTTTCTTTTGTTCTCTATTTTATTTTAGGCTTTAACTAAAAATTTAAAATAAAAAGCACAAAATTTAGAATACACCTAGGAGTATTAACTGATATAAAAGTCCCCTGGATGCCCTAAAGGACCAAGAAAGAATGAGTTACTACGGAAGTAGCTACCGAATGTTCAATGTGGACTCCAAATATCCAGGCTATCCCCCAGAGCATGCTGTAGCTGAGAAAAGAAGAGCAAGGAGGCGCCTGCTCCACAAAGATGGAAGCTGTAATGTGTACTTTAAACACATTTTCGGGGAATGGGGGAGCTACATGGTCGACATTTTCACCACTCTTGTGGATACCAAGTGGCGCCATATGTTTGTAATATTTTCTTTGTCTTACATTCTCTCCTGGTTGATATTTGGCTCCATATTTTGGCTCATAGCCTTTCATCACGGAGACCTATTAAATGATCCAGACATCACGCCTTGTGTTGACAATGTGCATTCATTTACGGCAGCGTTTTTATTCTCCCTTGAGACCCAAACCACCATAGGGTATGGTTACCGCTGTGTCACAGAAGAATGCTCTGTGGCCGTGCTGACAGTGATCCTTCAGTCCATCTTAAGTTGCATCATAAATACCTTCATCATTGGAGCAGCCTTGGCAAAGATGGCAACTGCCCGGAAGAGAGCCCAGACCATCCGCTTCAGCTATTTCGCCCTCATCGGTATGAGAGATGGGAAGCTTTGCCTCATGTGGCGCATAGGAGACTTCCGACCAAACCATGTGGTTGAGGGCACAGTGAGAGCCCAGCTTCTCCGCTATTCAGAAGACAGTGAAGGGCGGATGACTATGGCATTTAAAGATCTCAAGCTCGTCAATGACCAGATAATCCTCGTAACCCCAGTGACAATCGTCCACGAAATTGACCATGAGAGTCCTCTGTATGCCCTTGACCGCAAGGCAGTAGCCAAAGATAATTTTGAGATTTTGGTGACATTTATCTATACTGGTGATTCTACTGGGACATCCCACCAATCCAGAAGTTCCTACGTCCCCAGAGAAATTCTCTGGGGCCATAGGTTTAATGATGTATTGGAAGTGAAGAGAAAGTACTACAAGGTGAACTGCTTGCAGTTTGAAGGAAGCGTGGAGGTCTATGCGCCCTTCTGCAGTGCCAAACAACTGGACTGGAAAGATCAACAACTCAACAACCTGGAGAAAACATCCCCTGCACGGGGATCCTGCACCTCTGATACCAATGTCAGGAGGAGGTCATTCAGCGCAGTAGCCATTGTAAGCAGCTGTGAGAACCCAGAGGAAACCACCACTTCCCCACCAGATGAGGACAAGGAAGTCCCTTACCAGAAAGCTCTCTTGACTTTAAACAGGATCTCCATGGAATCCCAGATGTAGCCCTCTTCTCTGCCTCTTACCTAGAGGCATGAAGCTGTAAGCATGATTTTTAACAAAATGTTAGGTCTGTTCTTTGCAGCAGGAACAGAAAGTAGAGCAGGTGAGGTTTGGTAAGTGATCGTCTGAAAATTCCGTAGTTTTCTAATATTAAAATTTGGTTTCGGTAGCAAAGTTTGTATTGGGAAAATCAATTAAGAAGCTTAATTGATTACAATTGGTCTCATGATTGCATACACTTGTGTCTTCTCCTGAAGGTGAAATATTTAGGAGTGGGAGAAAAGAGGCTAAAATAAAAAAATAGAGAAACAAGTAAGCTAAATATTGACATTTATAAAATAATTATGGAATAGAAACTTATCACGATATCTCTTCACCTAAGCACCACAGATGAGATATGCCTCAGCTCAGAAACATTGAGACAAGTAAGCAAAATCAAGCGTGGTCTGAGTTACCCTATTTGTGTCTCATAAATTGACAATGCCATCAAGTCACAGATTCCTTTACTTGCCTAAATTGTTACTACTGAGTGCAGAACCATGTGCCAGAAGAAAAGGGGACATCATTACTTAAAGAAGTATTTCTCTCTTAAATACCTTGGTTCAACCAAACAAATGGGGGACAGAAGTGAGGCAGGGCCTGCGTGTGTGCTCCATGGAGAAGTCTCCTGTGCTCACACTCCCACTGTCCGTAAGCATTTATAGAAAGGCAGGAACACAGGGGCTGGATGCAGGCGTGAGCGACAGCTGTATGTATCCTCAGACCTGTGGAGAACAGATGCTCTTGGCTGCTGGTCCAGAGAGGATACCGTGTGGGCTGAGAGGAATTCAAAGAGATAAAGCCCTTTCTGAAGGCAGGGGCCAGTGTGTGTGTGTGTGTGTGTGTGTGTGTGTGTGTGTGCGCGCGCGCGTGTGTTGGCTTGAGATTTGGGGTATGGACACTTTTGTGAAACAATGTAATGAAGTTGATTTGATTGTGTACTAGGGAGATAAACTGAATAAATAGTATAGGAATGCCTACATTTTAGAACTGGAGATAAATGTGCATTTTCTGTTTTCATGTTAAGGGATTAAGTTAACTCCTGATTAGTTGTAGCATGAACCCGGTCTCATACACAGTAAGCTTTATAAACTGAAGAATTGTTAGCTATGGCTCGGCATCATTTCTGTATTTTTTCCACTGTTGCTGAGTTAGGAATGACTATATGATACAGCTGTTGTTTGATTTAAACACACACACACACACACACACACACACACACACACATGCATGCACGCACACATCCTTACTTAAATTTACTCTAATAAATAGAATGAACTGAATCACACAGTTCAAAATTGCCAAGCTAAGTAAAACAAATCTGTATTTTCTGTCATTTTCTTTTTTCCTCCTCTCCCTTTCTTTCTTTGCCTCTCCCTGTTACCCAGGATCAATATAAAATACAGTGTACCTCTTCAAATGCAAATGTGTAAATAAAGCTTTCTTAGCTGCTGTTTTAGAAATAAGAGATCAGTTCAAGGGGGCAAGTTAAAAACTGCCTTGAAACAGTATCTGAGACCTAGGTCATGTTTAACCTGCACTGCTCAGGAGTGGGGACTATTATCTAACCCATACACCATGTATTTATACACCCACACATTCTTGCATGCATGTGCAAACAGAGAGAGAGAGAGAGAGACAGAGACAGATAGACAGAGACACAGAGAGAGACACAGAAACAGATAGAGGCACATACAGAGAATTTGGATTTCATAGCAGCAACTACTTGTCTAAATTAGAATATTACTATTTCCAAGCCTGAGAATTATCAGCATAACAAAGCTTTCCTCACCAATTTGAATTTGTCTCCCTAGAAGGCAGGTACATGCTTCCTTTGCAGTCCTCCCATGGGGATTGCCTTGACAAGAGCATAATGGGAGGGGAGCTGGGATCATCCATGTCTGAGTAAGCACATTCTGGTGCACTATGTGTTCAAACACAGAGTGGAATGTATGGTCGGCATTCGCGTGTCCCATGCATCTCTAATCTTCTGTTCAGATTTATAAGATGCTCTGAAAACCCCCAATGACTTACTTAATAAAGATCATAATAGAGTGACGCAAAACACTGTGTCCATCTCTCTGAACCCTGTGGTGTTGACTCAACTTCTTGAAAATGAGAATGTTGCCTCACGTAATTCATAAAACACACGGGCTTTTTACAGCACATGGGGCAGTTGTGTCCGAAGTGACAGGCTCTTCTATACACAGCACAGACTGGCTCTGTGCAAAATGTATTTCCAGTTTTAAGTGCACTGTTGCTGATGTTAAATGAGTCAAGTCAATCATTTTTCTTATGCCTCCCATCTCTCCTGAAACATGAAAGTATTCATCAGAGTTAAGTAGAAAACAAACTGTAGCATCAAGTCTCTGCTCCATTGGATACTGTGGTCTATGTGCAGGAAGAGCGAATGAACAGAGAAAGAGAGTGGAGGGGGAGGGGACAGGGAGGAGACGCTGCCCCTACCTCACCACTTCCACACACTCTGATGTGCTTAGTCTCCAGGACGAAGGGGTGAGGTGGATATTTAACAAGTATCCAATTCTCTGCTTCTTCCTCACAAACAGCGCTCTAACTGGGACAGCAGTGGGCTCAGGTGAAAGTACGCAAGGCTTCTCAGTTTCTCTTTCATCTGGGGAGGAGCATGGGGGGGAAGGTATTGAGTAGCACCGTTCTGTGCTATGTGTTATCAGTGCAGGTCTCTTGGTGACATTTGTATAAAAGCACTTTATAGAGGTGGATTTGGCAGGCGTATCTCTTTCGTATCTCTTTCGCTCTCCCTTGTCACCCTTTTTCTCATGGGACTTCAGACCCGATAGCTGTTGGCTCTGCAGCCATGTTGTATGAAGACAAAGTATATCTTCTGCAAAGCAGAATGGAGGGTCCAGAGGGACTGTGCTCTCCAAATGGAAATCTCTATGTAGTTTCTCTATATACATGCATTCAGAATATGTGTACTTTGGTCATATTCATGCCCCTTTTTTAACTCTCTTTTCAGATCCCTCCAGTGCACCCCAAACTTCATGCCCTCTTGTTTTTTTAAACCCACTGAGTCCAGTTACTGCTGCCTATGTATGATTTTGTGTGTGTGTGTGTGTGTGTGTGTGTGTGTGTGTGTCCATCCACTGGCACAGGGGCAACCTATCAGAGGCCCTGAAGAAAATGGACTCTCCCTCCAGTAGAAGCCATCAGCTATCAGGGCTAGCTACTCAACTGGATCCAGTTTTCTTTATGCAACAGTAAAAATAAACACTCTGTAACCATCACAGGAGTACCATGTCTCCAGGGAATTACTTTGAAAACAAGGCTAGAAAAGGGGGGAGGGGAAGCTGTACAGTTTAAGTCCAGTTTGTACTTGTACTTGACATTTGTTGGAGCTGGTCACTGTGGAAATTACATATTTTCTAGGGAGTTGAGGAAATGCCATTATTATTGTAAAAAAAAAAATTGCTTCTGACCTGGAAACCCCTTTGAGACACTGGTGGCTAAATGATCTTGATAAGAGGATTGACCAAGCCTCCTACAGGGGCTGCCTTGACTTTCTCCCTTCCTTGCTAACCCGTCATGTAAGTTCTGTGCTATTGTGGGACATTTGATGGGGCCTAATGATGTGAAATAAATAACAGGCCTGGCAAACCCTGTAGTGACAACAACAAAACAAAACGGCCCCCCTCAACTGTACTCAAACTCTCAGTAGACCTCAGAAAGACCCAATGTCTTAAATTTAGAACATTCACAGAAATCTTAAAGATACTCCAAGGAACCTGCATTCTGAATATTTCTACTTTTAGGGGCTAGCTCAGTTGATAGAGTGCTTATTTCCCTAGCATGCATAAAGATTTCTATCTATCTCCAGCAAAGAAACAAAACACGGTGTGGTGGGACATGTCTGTAATCCCAGCATTTGGAAGGTAGAGGCATGGGGATAAAAAATTGTAAGTCATACTCAGCTGTATTTCAGTCCTAGGCTTCAGTTTTTTTCCTCTGACTTTCACAGATTTCAGATAAGTACATGGTACACAGACAGACTTGCAGGAAAAATGTGCATACACACATAAAATGTGTTTAATGTACTGTAAAACAATCTCTCATATCATAGCTGGCCACAGAACATAGCAGGTTCTAAAGTCTACAGATATTTAAACCACTGGGCAGCAAATTCTCCTCAGTCAGAGGTATTCTCTGCCCTCTCTCAACAGGCCTGCTGAAGCTTCTCCAAAGGCCAGCACAATGCTCTGTGGCTTTTAATGTCAGCTTAGCCTGAGAACTTCTAGAAGCTGTGTCTACACACCCCCAGCTCCCTGGCACCTATCAGTCCTGCCTCCATTCTAAAGGGAATACACCTTCCTTCTCTCCCACTCCTGCTTTTTAAGGAGCCACATAACCCAAATCCAGACACATGCAGAAAAGAAAAGTGGGGTTCACACAGAGCACACGGATAAAGCAACAGCAGGGAAAATCCCCTGCCAAGATGCTCCTGGATCCTGAGAAATGGAAACTGATTCTTGGGACTTGGTTTGGACAAATCTGTGGGCAGAGAGCAAGCGAGGTCCCCAGCAGGGCCTTTTCCTGAAAAGTCCCAGCCCTAGTGTTGATCACCTTCTGTACTGCCATGGAGATTTTCTTTCCACCTGCTTCTTTCACTGCTCTTGCTTCACTGAAATACTTTCATAGGGATCCTTCAGGGCTCTGTGGTTGGGTCCTGAGCTGCTTCTTGCTCTGTCATGCCACTGTGTACACCATTCCTTGACAAGGTTCAGGACTGGAGTTTGGGGTCCCTCATGCAGTGCTCAGAGATTGAGTTCAAAGCCTCTAAAGATAATCAGCTTTGATTTTGGATATGACTGTTAAGGTTGAGACTGCTTTGTGGTGGAGGAACACCTGACACGGAAAACAAAGAAGATAAACCAAAAGTAAAGAATCTTAACAAGATATCCTTTGGCTTTTTATTTTCTGTCCTACTGATTTATTCTGTTCTATAAATACTGTAAAGTTGGAGTTGAAGAGATGCTTGAGCGGTTGAAGGGCAGTTGGCTGCTCTTGCAGAGGGCTTGGGTTCAGTCCCCTGCACGGGGTCACTCACAGTGGTTTGTTATTGTAGCACCATGAGTAGTGAACACTGTCTTCTGCCCTGTGCATGGATGCTAGACATGCATGTGGTGCACATACAAACACACAGGCAAAATACATACATAAAAAAATAAATCTTAAAAAAAAAATGCTGTAGTGTGCCTGTGGAGGAGTGGGCCTGTTGTCTCCAGGAAAGCAGGTGGCTGTTGGGAGGTTGCACAGTTGCTGAACTGCTTGTCTTGCAAGCATGGGGAGCCGGGTTTGACCCTCAGAGTGCAGTTATAAAATTCTGGGCATGATAAGGGACATCTGTAGTCTCAGGCCTCAGCGTGCTGACCCTCAGCATGAGAACTCTGGGACTCACCGGGCACAAGCTCTGGGAGAAAGAGAGAGCCCAGCTCCAGAAACAAAGTGTGGAACACCCCACAAACATTTAGAACTCAAAGTCGTCCTCTAGCCTCTATGTGCACCGACATTCGTGTGCATGCACAAGTACAGGAACATGCCAACATGCCCACACCAAAAAAGAGGGGCGAGGTGAAGATGAAAAAGGCAGACTGAGGTTTCCAGACTTTCTAACGAGTCTGTGAGGTCTCCTCTTGTCTGGCCTCATGTGGAGACTCTGAAAAGTTCCCAGGCTGCACAGAAATCGGTAACTTGGAGCTTTTTCAGTAATCCCAAAGGGTGAGAATCCCGATTCTCTTGCTAAATTGCTAAATTGCATAATCGTGAAACGATTCTGGTCTCGACTGCTATGTTGACCCCAGGGGACTCTAAAATATCCTTAAACACTATCTAAGAAACTTGAACTTGATGCAGACCGGGCCCAACTCAGAAAGGTTAGTCACTGTGGAGTTTTCTTTAGGAAAAATGATCCGTAGCCTCCACATTTCCACATAAAAGACTTCATCACATACAGTCTTCACTGTGGACAAAACTTGTTTCATTTTAATTAGAAGCACATGTTGGAGATTGATTATTTATTATACTTCTGATTGGATTTTTCTGACATTAGTTTGCCTGGAGAAGAAAAGCCTGCCCTCAGGCTGAGTTTATGGAAGAGCTCAACCCTCTCAACTGCTAATTTACACCTAAAGATGATTGTGATTTTGGCTCATTGTATCAGATGCCTCTTTTATTATGGATAAGGAACTCTTCTTTGCAGGGACAGACAATGTAGAGCAGAAGAGGAGAGACACTCAATGATCAATGACCTGTGATAAATAACACGCATTGACAAGTGGTCCTGATGTGGTTTAAGATTTATATGCCAACACCTCTATAGGATAATTAGTAAATGAAGATATGATCATGTCAACATCCTTTGTGAATCTGAGGACATAATTTCCTTTTTAAAATATTTTACATTTATTTTATTTTATTGAGAATTTCCTACAAGAGCACCATTTTCACATCATTTATAGGTTCCAGAGACTTTTTTAGGGTCATGTTTTCTTTGGTTTTAGTACTAAAGTCTGAACCCATGGATTTGAGCATGAGAGAGGCAAAGATTGTTTGAATGGTTGGCTGACACATGTGTCAAAAGATGGCTTGCTGAAAAGAAGTTGGAGATGGCTACTAATCCCTGGCTTAGTGTTGATGAAAAGATTTTCAGACTCAGGGAAAGTGCAGTGCTAGGGTGGGCATGATGTGTAAAACCTAATCCTTGACAATGAGAAGGCCCAGAAGACAGGCCCAGCCCTAACCCTCGAAGATGCAAAATGCTAAGAGAGGAAACAGCACATTCGAAGAGCTTTGTTTTCACCCTTTACCTTGTTCCAGACCTTAGGGTTGGAGATGCTGCTGCTCAGTTAGATGAATTAAATGCAATGGGTTTAACTGGGTCCTAAAGTAGCAGGGCCCAGGTGGCAGCACTGAATCACCAAAAGCAAGGAGATCATAGTTACCATAATGGGCAGCACAGACAACTATATATGGCAATGCCAATATTTATTGTGATAAGAACACCTGAGTCACATAGACCTGCATTGACCATAATTGTGTATCTTATTAATGGT